AGCATACATATTATTTTGTTGGGGTCACTAGTAGCTAATTGTCGTTGATATGAATACAATTATTCCTTACTTATTGGACTCAAGACGAGAAGGGTTAAATCCTAAACCCGAGCTTGCCACTATAATAAAGAGGCATCACATTCACGTTTAAGTGAACAAATATATAAAATGTTTTACTATGTAATTAATAGTATTTATGTTTACAAGTTTGTTTGTGTTGATTTAGGGGATATGGTATTGTTCATAAAAATAGAAAGTTCAAATGGATGATATTTTCAGTAGGTGTAAAATATATCTCTATACTGAATTTGTTTAAAATCACTTTGACTATTGAACAAATTTCATTTTTAGGTTCCTCGTTAACTAGGACTTATAGAATATAAATATTATGTCTTCCGTTTTATAAGAGAGATTGTTATGTATGATCTAATGAGAACACCAGACAAGGTTAGTGTAGATGCAATCTACTAACTAATATGTTTCTATTAAACATATATATAAAATGCAAATTGATTGACATTGAGTCCTGATATTTTGTTAATAGTGGGTGAAAAGGGAACATTTCACACAAGAAGAAATTGATGAAGTTTGTCAAGAATGATGTGACTACGTATCCACATTTGCACATTAAGGATTGATAACAATCATCCAATTGTAAATTTATATAAGAGTTCTAAATTCTTTGTACTTCTTATATAAATGTATTAGTTTTTTAATAATAAAATCATTAATTGTTTTAATTAATACCAATCCCAATGTTTCAATTAAAACACTATCCATGACCCATTTTTTTTAATTTAATTTTCTATACAAACTAAGAAATTTGAATCATTCACCCAAGTATAATTTTTGTTCTATTAATACAAATAAGAAAATTGTCATAGATACGAAATTAAATATTAAATTAATTTTAAAAAAGAAATTTAGAATATGCCAATCTATCTTGCAATAAAAAAAAAAACTTCTTTATTTACTTAATTAATGTAAATGAACCAATACATAAGATATGAATGCTACAATATAATTATGTTCTACATGTGTCCAAAAGAGAGTCAAAGGATGATCGATTAGATAATACATTTATTTAACTATTTTTGTATGTAGTCTTTCATACATGTGGCAGTGCAAAGAAAAACTTTACTTTGTGATTTTCTTTCAATATATACTCACCAGTAACGAGAATTTCATTAGTTGAAAAACCGTCAAGTTGCATAATTTCATTGAAAAGTAAAATTCTTCTATCAGTACTATCAGTTTTTTCTTCAAAAAAGCTTAAATGCCCTTAATTTGGCTCACAGCCTTATCATATGTAGCTTCTAGATTGCCTATGTGCTCAACCAATTCAACAATTGGTCCATCTGTGCTCCTACAATGCTTTTTGCCTGACAATGTCCTAGTGGAGGTTGGAGCAACTAAACCTATTTCTTCTTTGTCCTCTACTCTTTCTGTATTTTCTTCATGATAGGGATCAAACTCTAAATAAAAGAAAGCATCCTCAACAACATTCATTGCTTTAACAGCATCAACAATTGTTTTAGCTCTCTGACATGTTACTCTATTAGTTTCAAAAATCACTTTAAAATTATCAAAGAAAGGAAAATGTTTGCTCCTTAATCTTCTAGAATATAGACGAGTCTATGTAAAAGTTAAAGTAAATTCAAATAAAATATAATAAATAGAAAAAAATAAAATAAGTTAAATGATAGTTTAATCTTAAACAACCTACTTAAACCCACTAATTAAAAATTACTTTCTCAACAATGATACATTTGTCTCGATCATTCTACCTAAATCCACTTATATTTTTCATATCATAAATAACGAAATGTTATCTTTTTAGTAGTTAACCCTTGACTCAATATAGAGGGTGGCTTTAAATTAGGAATTGATAATGAGTTACTCCAGCATCATTTCAAGATATCTAAATATCCAACACGGAATGTTTTATTATCTGCTCTCCAACTAGGATCATTTGTCAATGCATGTAGGCATTGGACGAGATATGAATCCTTATCCCTTGTCCATGAATGTTTTACCTACCCCTGAACTTTTTATTTTTCTTTTAGATGGGCCTCTTACAAATTGAAAAGGATTGGCTCGAGATAAAGACATGTTGATTTTCTAATCATATGGTTAGACATCATGCAAAAATATTAATATAGTAAATCAAAAATTAGATAAGAGTAAAATGTCTATATTAAGGCATGAAGTAAACTAATAAACATGGAAAAAAACCAAAGACATTGAAAACAATTGCCATATACATTGTACACTCAACAAGAAAAAAAATACATGAATATATATTGAACAAAGGTAGAAATCAAATTTTACACTTAACCATATCATAAAAACATCAATTAAATCTAGAAAACATGATAAGAAATAAACAAAAATCTATAATGTTCTTATTCCCAGGATTGAAACTAATTTGTAAACATTTCCTGTGCATATTATCTCTAAAATGAGTCCAAGCATAAGATGGCTTAACATGCATAATCAAACCTTGATGTTCAGGTTTATCTGGTTGGTTATTACTTCCTTAAGCAACATCACCCTTTATAGGATCAATTACCATCTCAGACATAATAAAATTATAGAGAAGGCAAGAAGTAAAAATGATTTTACACTATCTTTATTGAATAAAATGACTTCTCCTTAAAAATTGCCATCTAGCTTCAATATACTAAAACATCTATTGATACAATTTTTTACTTGAAAGTGTTTCATATTGAAGTATTCCTGCAAGGCCGTCAATTGGAGTTCTGACCTCCTATCATTTAGATGGTATCTTTGACACCTTCATCATTTGTGTATTCGACATCACACAAATAGTAATAACCTATTACAGTGGAATAACATTAATACACATAAAAAAAATGTTCTAAACCCTAAAACCAAAATATTAAAGCTAATATTTTATGGGATCCTCAACCCATTTTTGCATGTAATGACATCATTTAATACTCTACCATTTGTTGCAGAACCTTTTCATCCTAGTAAAACATATATGAATTGCACATATGAGGTGTAAACACCAAAGAAATTGGTAGCAATTTCATTTTTTCTAGTCCTGTATCTAGGGCTATCAATTGTGTCTACATTGACTTTGATGTATATCCCATCTAAGGCACCAAAACAACCTTTAAACCATTTTCAGTTTTTATCTATTGAATTATCTAGTTTCAATTTGAGTTTTTTAAACAATAGGGTATGCAGTTTCAAAACAAAATTCAATATAGAATAAAATTGTCTACTAATTGTCTCTTTAGATCTAACTACCTTACGTTTCATAACCCTATTTTTTATATGATGAACAATTATGTTGAGAAGCTAATAATCAGTTCCTCTATTGGCATATGTTTAGATGCCAGTAATCCCCTTTCTGTTTGAAGCAAATGACATAATTTTACAAAAGTTCTCCTATCCATTCTAGTATTATCTATATACTATCTATTGCTTTTAAAAATCATTGTATTTAAGTTTAACTCTCTAACATGTAGCCTATCATAAGAGGTTTCCCCATAATATACTCTACATTGTTTTTTAAGTTTCATTACAATTAAAGCCATAACAACAATAACTAACATATGCAACAAATTCTCCATTTGATTCAAATGCAAAATAAGGATTGTAACCAATTGCATCTTCTTTCTTAGTGATGAACGAGTCTTAACTGTTTATAAGAAAAATTCTCATTAATGTTGAAAAAAATAGAAAGCAAATTTTTGCATATGGAAGATAGAATCTATCACACATTCAAAACCAAAATATAAATGAACAACAAAATATTTGTGGATGAGAGAGCTAAAACCAAAATGAATAACATATTTATATATCAACATATTTTCAATCAATATCTAAACACGATCTAAACAAATAAAATAAAAAAACATTTGAATGCAACAAATGACGCATAGCAAATAATTAGGTAAAAGATAATAAACACACCGTTTTATTGAAAAAAATGCAAATAAACTAAACAGCACAAAGATTAAAACACAGATGTTGAAATTGATGTTGGTTGAACAGGAAAATATTTGCATAAAGCTCTGCTATGTTGAAATAAAAATCAGAATGTGATTTTTGTTATTGAAATATGATTAAGACATCAATTATGATGTTTCTACACAAGAAACATCATAATAGTATGTTCTTCTGAATTTGATTAGACATTATAAGGTTCATAATGTTAGAAACACAATTTTTTAGAGAAAAAAATTTTAAATTAGTCAATTACTGTGTTTATTTTTAAATAAATATAGTAATTAATAATAAAAAGAACAACGAAAAATAATATTGCAACATTCTAATTACAAAAATGAAATAAAAACTTGATCAATTATTGCATTTTTACAAATAAACACAATAAATATATTCAATTACTGCATTTCTTTAAAAAAACACAGTAATAAGGTTTTAACAAAAGCCATACTCTACCACAATTTCTTCATACTTTTCAAAAACAAACTTAGTAATAGAAATATGGAATTAAAAAAAAACAATGAACAATTACTGCATTTTGTTTATTATAAATATGGTAATTGACTTAAAAAAATTTTAATTTCATTGTCAAATGTTGCTTTTCAAAAAGTTAACATAGAAGTAATTTTTTATTTAGAACAAACGCGAAACTCAAACAACTTTTCATCCGAAATCATAAAATATCACAAGAAGATGTGAGTTTTTAATTCCATGACTTTCGAATATTGTTGAGAATTTGACATTTTCTCCAAAAATCGAATAATTTTGAACCAAACATGAGAATCAAATACTCACAATTATATTTCAGGAGAAAATTTTTTGATTCCTCCTAACTAAATGACCCCTAATGATTCCAGCACAAGAATACCACAAGAGACATCTAAATTATTGAAAGCAACCAACATTTAACGTTTTTGAATTGCATTAATGAAGTTAAATGAGAAATAAAACTCTTAATTTTAATAATTAAGATTCAATTCTTGATAATTTCAAATACCAAAAATAAATGGAAAGTAAAAATTCATTGAAACAGATCAAAGTTAGCACAAGCAGGAAAAGGTGTATTTTGGCCCCCAAAGCAAGGAAGCCCGAGAATGTAAATCGATCACATGACAAATAGTGATTACATAAGTTTGAAGACATAAGTGATGGAAACTTGCAGACTGCTACAAATTTTAGAATTTTTACCAGCAGGGCTGAAGTTTCTTCAGGTATTTCACTTGTTTGAAAACATAAAATCACTGCATATTGCTTCAGTAGCTATGAATTTGGATGCTACAAACCAGCCTGCAATGAGAAAACAGACATTTGAAATCTCATTCAAACCCTTGGGTGAAGGGTAAACTCATGAACTTAGCATAATCTTATGATTTACCTACAGACAGCAATTGAAACAACTCAGCTAAGGAGATCTTGTTCAAGTAAATTTTAATAAATGCCGACAACAATATAATATAATGTTTTCATCCATACACCATCTGCCCTCACATTAATCTTGGCATGAAGAATCTAATTGATTGCTAAAAATGACTCAAACAATTGGCCTCACCTTGATAGGAAAAATAAAGAATGACTCTTCACATTTCAGATCCCAGCCAAGATTATTATTGGTCATAATGCCATATTTGCCTCAACATAAAAATGGTTTGGAAAGACCGGAAGGTCAAAGAATGTTCATATGTAAGTGTTGTATGAATTGCATTTTATTGACATGAAAGTCAATGCAAAGGATTGATTTTCATATTCTTGTATACAAATACCTACGCACCACACAAAAACCCACACAATCACCATCAGCTTCTTATGACAAAATCCAAAATGGAATCTCACTCTTTATTCCTCTTTCCTTTCTATTTTTCAAATCTGAATATGGTTAATGGCTTATTATCAATAAAATTGCTGTGGAGTACACATGGTTCATGCATTCCTGAAGGCCTGGGTTCATTTATAAATGACAACAACTCAAATTAATCAATTCCCTGTATATCAGTTTTCATTTTCAGCAGTCTACTGCTGGTATCTTCCTATTTAATTTAAATTGGACATAATAAAATAAGTCAGCAGCAACTACTGGGATTTGAATACTGAAGCAGAAGCACGAAGTCATTGTGTCAAGAAAAAAACTTTATCTGAATGTTATGTAGAAGGCGCTGCATCAAAAGAATGAAGAATTTCTTCCAGTACTGCTCTTGTATTGTTATCAAGAGGACTTTCAGGCTTGTCTGAATGAGAAATATTAAGAAGGTAAAGCTTCTTTGATGCCACAAAAGCCGCTGAAAAGATCCTCTTCATTCCTCCCCTAGTGCTATCCACCTTGTACTCAAACTCATATACTTGTAAGCCTCCTTTACCTGGTCTCTCAGCAACTCCAATTACATTGGCATCCTTTGTGCTTTCCTGTAAACGAAAGGGTAACGTATAAAACAACATTGTTTAAATTACCATAGACATCAGAACTGAAAAAAAAAAAAAAAAGAAAAACAGCAACCATATTCTATTCAACTTATCCATGTAAAGATATAAATGTAGAAAGAATATTCAGCACACATTACAATGCAGAAAGACACCTCATTATTTCTATACCGCAGACCTCATTTTAACACCCAGTTAGGAAATACATCAGAAATTCTACATTTGTAGTAGCCCCTGCACCTACCAAATGTGTCTGAATTATATGAATGGCTCAGCTATGTGCTCACATATTGTATGTATTGCAAGAACTAGCATGAAGAAAACTTGAAAACACCAAACGATCAAAACCTTCTATAGTCTTTTACCACATATCTTGCACTTTCTTCATCAGTTCAAAAGTTACAATAAAAGTAGATGTAAAATACATTGCTCAAATCATTTCATTCAAATGACACATGGTCAAATATTAACTTAAACTTTCAAACAATTGTTTTATATCTTCTTGAAAAGGAATAAATATTATTTGCCTAAGGCAAGTATTTCAAATCACAAAATAACCTCAGATATTATTAAAATGTCCTCAACACACAGGAAATTTCATGTAGTACAACCATCATTTATGCAGTAAATAAGAAGGTTTTCCTTTTCCTTTTCCTTTTTTTTTCCCTCTAATTTTCATATAGCTCAGCCACACAAGGGCAAAAGACACAAGCTTGTACGCTTATACTGGTACACATATGAGAGAGAGAGAGAGAGGAAGGATGTTGGTTTTGAGCAAAGCACACTCTCAAGAAGATATATTTAACACATAGATTCATAGTCACGGTTTCTTACAATAAAATAAAAAACTACATTCATACCACCGGTTAGTTTTATTTGTAACTGTCTTCTCTTCTCATATTCCAGTGTTGATTAAAAGTTGTAGAAAAAGGCCCTATGAATCCAGGTTAGTTCAATATAATTGCCAGCAAATGGTAGACTGTATCATGATTTCGTTTCATTAGAGAAAACATAAACCGAGTGTCGGAATTCAAGCTAGGTTTCAAAAGACTTAATTCAGGTGGCTGTTGAGCAAATGGAATATAGATGAAGCACCTTTAAATTGAGAGGCTAAGGACATATTATGGATGCAGAAACTGAATTTGTGCCTACACTTTATCTGCATGCGTGCTTGTTAAGCTTTAGAGGGTTAAGTTTCTTTAAGTCATTGAAGTAAATAAGAGAGCAATTGAGGACATACACAATAGTTAGCAACCAAACATGAAAAGACATAAAAGTAGTTCAATAGATACATTAAGGACAATAAAAGGGGAGTCTCTGGTAATGCAAGGAAGAAAACCTAAAACACAATTAGGTCCATAATATAAAAGGCATGCACAAGGTACATGAAGGTTTCTGGAATTTTGCAAAAAGAGAAAAATAGCAATTGGTAGAGAAAACTGAAAAGGTAAAGAAATTCAAAAGTTCCTAAATTAAGTCCCCAAGAGGGCACCCAAAAGGTTAGAACTTGAACTTTCAAATTGGAGCGCTTAGGTTCAAATATTAGGGACAAGACAGGGTTTAGGATGGGCAAGAGCTATATCCCATTGCATAGCTCAACTCACATGCTCCAAAAGAAAAAAAGAGATCTTAAATTAGTGCTATGACGGGGCATTTCTAATGCCAAGGAATAATATCTTTGTTTAGAAGAGGTCTGAAGATTTGGGATGAATCGAGGATCCTAATAGGTCAGCGAAAATATCCTAGCACTCTAAAAATTGTCCAAGAATGAATATTCTTAAATCCAACTTTCTGAACTAAAAATTCCAACTACACTTGAAGCCATATGAAATACCAAAAACTGAATGATATTGGATAAACTGTAATGATACAATTCTCAAAGGGACCTTAATTCCTTCAAAATGAAGAATATCAGTGAATCTTTATTATCTAACAGGATATGATGTATCCTTTCAAATAGAAAAAAAAAGAATGGATATGATATATAAATGTAAATTTATTTATTTTTGCTATAAAGGTTCTGAATATTTGATGATGAATAGGGGAAGCCACATAAATATCATGGGATAGAAAAATTAAATACCAATAAATTAACAATTATTGAATCATGCATGTAATTTTTGTTAGAAAATATGGTTTATCATTAACAAAAATAAAAGAAAAATAAAGGCAACAACAATTATAATGTTGACTTAACGTTTATCTACGAATTTACACTACCAATTTGACAATTGATGAACATTACAAGCGTATTCTCCTAAAGCTAGGCAGAGAAGAAAAGAAATTCTAATAGGCAGTGGCAAGTCTACATTTTTCATCAAGTTGATTTGGGTTTATCTATCTTTTCCCATCTTAGTCATCAGATTGAGGCAAATTATTGTTACTGACATGCAATTATTAGTCTTGGTTGAGTAAATAATGAGGACATTGATCAAATAAATTGCCATAGAACCTTTTGAAGATAGGTGTAATGAATCTTAGTGTCACATGAAAATACAAATAAATTCATTAGGAAAAATGGGAATCGAACCAATGAATGTGATAAAAAAGAAAGAGTTTGTTATCAGTACCTTGCGTTTTTCAGCCTGTATAAGCTTATCAGCCACAAACTGAGGAGTACCAAATTCTCCAAGGCCGTTTAAACGAACTGGGTTCACAACAACCCCGACATTGTTACTCCCCTTGTTTGCCTCCTCAAACAAAACAGTTGCCCCTGCTTTCTCAACCTTAGCCCACCCCACCCCAATTCATCACATTAGATGCAAAGACAATGAAACTAACAGAAGTTTGAGTTACAGCAGAAGCATTTTTCATTCAAAATTTCCTGTTTTATCTATATAAATTGTAATAATAAAAAGAAAGTACCTTGATCCAAGAAGAAGGCCTGAGAAGAGTGAAACCCTCCTCCACATCTGTGTATCTTTGGAGCTCTAATTCATTGTGAGACAAAGCTTTGGAATAGTGTGGCAAAAACCCATTTAAGATAAGAGCGAGAGCTGAGGAATTCAGGCTTCTCCTGGTCAGGAAAAGTGGAGGTAGCAATGTATCTTTGTCCGGAGACTGGTGTTTGAGAGCTTTGGGTCTGGAAGAAGGGAACTTGGGAGAGGAACGGTGGTAATGGATGCAGGAGTAGGGGCTTTGGTTTGAGAAAGGGAGGCAAATTTGGCAAGCCATTTTAGTGAACGTGCGTAGGGAGGCTATATCTACTGTGACATTATTATGGACGCTAGTTTCAATCCTACAGCTCACTCTCTCTACAAATTTCCTTTCACTTTTGAACAGATATTCCGATCAAAATCAACGTTCAAACCAAATATTTATGGACCGAAGGTGCAAGGTTTAACACAGGTTTAGGTAAGGTTGACTTGATTTGGTAACAAAGAAGAGAATTTAAAATTTTATAATTTTAGATTTAAATTTTATTGTATGTAGATTTAATTATTTAATTTGTTTTAATTTATTTATTGATATTATATACAAATATGAGAATTGATTTTAATTATAAATTTCTTTTACTTATAATTTAAAAAAAAAAAAAAGTAAGAGTGAATATGGTCTGTGGAGAGTTAACATCGCGGATCATTCATATATGATTGGTTTTAAAAATTTTGAACCATAGATTAGTCTATCAAGATCAAGATCGCAAATCACTCATGTAATATCAATTCAATTAGATATAAGATTTGACCCTAAATTTTTTTTATTTTCAAACAAATATATAATTAAAATTATAATCTTTTAATATCACAATAAAATTATAATTATATAATCCAAATTTATGAATTCACGTTTATAATTCATATTAAAATTAAATATTATAAAATACAAACAACAAAAATCTAAAAAAACTCTTCAAGCTCAAAATCTTAATGCATATTTTGATTGAATTACAATAAAAAGTTAACAAAAAGATTAGTAAGAAAAAAAAGGATAAAAAATTAAAGTATATATTGAAACAAAAATAATTTTAAATTCAAATTATTTTTTTATATATTTTTTTCAAAATTTAAGTACTTTTAATCAAACTGTTTAATCCTTCCTGCAGTCATAGGACACCTTATTCAAACATATATCAAGCTTGAAGTATCTTCCTGTCTTTTTTCCTTTCCTTCTGTTTTCTGAAAGTTGAAAAATTTTTCTCACTCTTATCTCATTCCTAAAAAAAATGGGATAATGAATAGAAATAAGAGGATGACCCGAAAGATTAAATGGAAGTGACAAAATTGAAAATTAAAAATTCCATTTCATTGAAACTTAAATTTTAAATAATTTAATTTTTTAGGTCTAATTTAACATAACTGTTACAGTTAGAAAAACTCAATTTGGAAAAAAGTACATTTAACTGTAATAATTGATTACTTTGAGGACTCACCCCATTAAGTAATTGATACTTTTCTTGCTTTTTTGCTATTTGCTATTTGATTTTCTAAAAATGAGTATAAAGTAAAAGCAAAGGCAAAAAAAAAATGATAATTAATTTAAAATAAACATAATTAAAATGTAACACCAGATCTAACATAATTAATCTACATAAAACTAGAATCATGTCTTTTTTCATTTAAAAAAAAGATCAAATACTATGTAAATAATCCTTCAACTCCTTTTCCCGCTTTGTTTTTTCTTATAAAAACAACAAAGAAATATCCAAAGCTCTACATAAACAAACAAATATGAGTTGTAAAGATTATTTTATGTGTGCACTAACATATACATAAATGGTTCCCCCAAATGAACGCTAGCATAATAAAGTTTTTCTTCAGGGCTTGATTGATCAGTAAACAAACCAATTTACCTCTTAAAATCACTGTTGTATACATAATTTCACACATTTCTATACAGCACTAGCAGCTGAAGAAGCATGCTATTCCACTTATTTGAAACCCCAAATTCATCAATCCTTTGATCCTAGAGTTTGATTCATCAAACCTGTCTGCCTCAATCCTGCAATGACTCAAGTTAGTGACATTTTTGTTAGCATATGTCAAAAAAAAAAAAAGTAAAACAAATAGAAAACGAGTAAGATTCTTTCACAAGGGCGTCCTAGGCACCTCGCAGAATGGAAAAAGTTTGGAAAACAAGCCAAATAATCTCAATTTTATCAAGGATTTTATGATGTCTTAAGGGCACTTGTTGAGATCGCTATTTTAAAGAAAAAAAATAAAATCATCCCACATTTATAGTCAAACACCAAGTTATTTTTAAAATACTTCTTAAAAATAAAACTTTAACGAGTGCCCTCCCTCTCAAAGCACTTTGTGCCATTTATGAAATTCTTTCATGTAATCATAGACTTATATATTGAAAAATCTTGATATATCTGTTTTATAAGCAACTTGAATTTCTTTTTTTTTTTTTAAATTTTTATATCTATGTATATAACCAATAACAAATTGATTTTAATATTTAAGATTGTTGAAATCAACTTTAGGCCTAGAAAAATAGATAATAGAGTTCATTTTACCTTCCTGATAGTTTACTGAATGGCAGGGATACTGAGGGAGCCAATGTTGAGCACTCTTGGCAAAATCTGTACCAATTGCACGGCATGCAAGGGTCCAAAAAAAAAAAAAAAAGCCAATATATAAACATGCCAACCTACATAGGCAAGGTAAATGCAAAAAGCTAAGCAAAACTTAAACTCCAAAGACAGTACCTCGCCCAATCGAGCATTCAATTTCAAGGATACAAAATCATCAGCACGGGTTGTACCAATATTCACAATTGCGGTGGTGGCACCTGCCTCATGAGCAGCCCTGTGAAACTCAAGGACCATTAGCTGCAGATCAAATCCTCTAAAAAAACTGTTTACTGTGCTTAGAACTTGATATACTCAAAACAGGGGAAAGTTCCTACATCAGAATCCTGAAACTAAAAAGCAACAAACTTGAGGACTGGCTCTTGCAGGAAAACTTTAAAGTGATAGACTAGTACATGACAGCCACAACTTATTAAATAAATTATGTTCAAATAAATAGAATAGTGAACCAATTATAATTGAACCATAGATTTCATACAAACACCATTGGTAAGTAACTTGATTTTGTTCTTTGGATGTGAATTGTAAAGTAAAATTTATACACCTGACAAGTCGGTAAGCAGACATGGTCATCAAAGATGAACCTAGTGCAAGGAAAGCATCACATTCTCTACCAACTTCCATGGCTATATCTGCTCTTTCCTTGGGCACATTGTCACCAAAGAAGACAACCTTGAAGTTGAAATACACAACAAAACATTAAAAAAAATAATTGCATTTGTATTCATTTTCATTTTAAATGGACAACTACCAACTCAACTCAAATTAATCTCAAACTAGTTGGGTAAACTACACAAAAAACTTCCATTTTCATTTTCTTGGGAATGTACAATTACAAAAGCTAACAGCAAGATGGCTAAGGCAACATCACCATGAACAAAGATTGGGAAAAAAAAAAGACTACCTTCCTCCGACAAACAAAAAAGGTAAATAAAAAAACCATAACAAAAAAGAAATGTATTTTTAGATAGAGTTAATTATATTTTTGGTACTTGAACTTTGAAAAAATGTATAAATTGGTACCTAAAGAAATAATATGTACAATTTGCACCCTAAACTTTCAAATAATGTACTATTTTAATCCAAATTCTAATATTGTTAACTCGTTTATATGATTTCTAACCAGTATAATTTTGTTATATGCTTGTCATTTATTAAATAAAAGTGTTACATGTTTTATAAAAACTCCATGTGGATCCCACGTGACAAACAATAATTAACCAATTCTGGATAAATATTTTTACAATTTAGTTTAGTTTTTTTTAATTTATATTGAAAAAAGATGTTAATAATAGGTGTATGAACACATAACTTGATAATATTTGTTAAATGCCAGATAAGCTGATATGGTTAGTGAGATTAGAATTTGAGTTAACATGATACATAATTGGAAAGTTCAAAGTGCAAATTATATATTTTATTTCTTTAGGTACCAGTTTATACATTTTCTCAAAGTTCAAGTTCCAAAAATATAATTAACTCTTTCAGATAACAATAGACATTACACCTATGCAATAGTCCAAAATGAATATTGTTTCGATCAGTTAGCCAGTGATGCATCCCAAAAATACCAAAACTAATTTTCTGGTACTGAGATGATAGCAGAAAGATCCTACTGCAATATACTATGTCAAACTACTTGCTACTATCTGAAGAAATAAAAGCTAAAGTTCAGCTGAAGATGATCCTCTTCACCAAAATAACAAGATCCTTTGAAACGACATGTTTTACTTTCAATTAAAGGACTTGCAAGATGCATTTTAGATCCCTATCCTCATGATTCCCATTGAAAAAGTATGCAAAACTAAATCATGAAAAGGAAAATTTCAAATTCACACAGGCAAGAAACAGTATAGGGGCATATATAGAAGGAAAATGGGATAAAAAAAGATACTAGTTTGGACCTGTATCTTCTTTCATTTGTATGAAAAAGTGGTAATTACCAAAATTTATCTTGCTCTAAATAAAACCGCAAATCTTTCTGAGAACAATTCACTTTTCAGAAAAGACTGTCTGTTAAGAGACTATGTCCTGAATCTTACAGGCTTAGCTATCACTGCCACCACCGCCCCTTTAAATAAGAAAAAGGTTCAGTTGCCTACCCTGCATAACTGGTTCATCTCAATAGCTTTAAAACATTTATATTCTTTTAGCACTTGTTGATAAAATCATGTCACAAATACAACTAATACCTGTGTATACTAGATTCCTTGATATTTGTGCCACATACATATGCCAAAACTTCGTTACCATGTACATCTGAGGATTACATTCATGGTTCCATGAAGTCTTTAAGTTATAAACACACTTTTAACAATCCCTCTAAACACTTAAAATCAAATTCTTAATTATTCATTATGTTCTCTGTTCACCACTACCATAAGCTACTGAAAGAAAGAAGTATGTTCAGGAAATAGGAAATATAAGCATCACAATCACAACACTTAGATGTCGATTACTCATAAAAGCAATGTATCACGCATCAGGTTTCATAAAAGCGAAGTATCTTACATCAGGTTTCATAAAAGTGAAGTATCTTACGTCAGGTTTCAGGATCCCCTTGCATTTCTTGCAAGTGGGGATGTGGAAATCCTCCTCCCAAAATTTCTCATCTATCTCAATATCACCATCAGGCCTTTGTTTCATGCCAAAGCTCTTATCTGATCCAGGGCTGCCATAGTCCAAGCTTTCAATTGCTGCTGCCCACTGCAATAACAAGTATTCATTGCCTATTCCAGTAAAAAAGCAGCATGTCTTTGCAACCAGATACAACCAAAGAGATGAGGGATTCTATGTGGAGATAGCATATTAATTAGTTACTAAAGAAGCAAAATGTAATGGTGGTCCTTAACCTAAGCACAAAGTTTCATTTGATCCCTAACCTCTTAATTGTTCTATTTAAATTTCAAACCTCTTCAAATCACTATAATTTAGTCATTCCGTTAGATAGTTTGGTTAAAAGTGAATGGATGGTGCTAACATGAACAACCACATAACTGAAGTTTGGATATTCTATTTATTTTAACAAAGTTATAGGATGATAAGGCATTATTGGAACAACTTAAAGACATTTGGCAAATAAATAAACACTTGAAAGGCTAGGAATAAGAAGTGAAAAAAAAAAAAAAAATCGCAGATCACTCACTTTGGTTTGGTCACCTAACTCCACGTTATCAATTGATTTTATATCCAACACCCATGAGATATGAGTTCATTTAATCAAAGCTTTCATAACTTAAAATCAGAATCCAAAAAATAAAATAATGCATATGAGGCCAATTCTTGTGAATTTCCTAATTTGGTTAGATTATTACAATATTAATTGCTGATGAGAAAACGAAGATTAATGGGAATTGCTCAGGGTGATTAAATCTACAAGACTAACCTTTGGATTAAGGGCCTTCACTTCATCTTGAAATAAATTTCGACAGAAGGAAAAACCACAATCTAGACAAATCACACTATAAACAGTCCCGTGCAATTCAAGTGGGTTGCTTCCAGCACGATGGTGCAGCCTGAAACATCATCTTGATAAATACTGCTCTAATGTCACATATTAATAAGAAAACAGCTCTTTACCTGTCAACATTCTGTGTTATCATAAAGTGTATTCGGCCAGCTTTCTCTAGAGATGCCAAAGCAACATGAGCAGCACCTGGTTGTGCTGCAGTAAACCGCCTCCATCCAGCATAGCTCCTTGCCCAATACCGCCTGCGGGCACGACTTGAACGTACAAACTCCTGTTCAAAGACAATTGCAAAAAGTTGAAAATGTAGACATTGGTTATGGAAAGACACTTATAGAAAAACAATTGATAGTGAATTATTGCATAAATTTGGTTAACCACACATAGGTTCTAGACATCTTTAAAGAAATATGTCAGAAAACTACATTTATGAGAGATAAAAAAAAAAAAAAAAGATGGATTTGATGTTTTGTAAGTAACTCATCTTGTATCCCCACTACTTTGGATAAATGAAATTGAATTATTCAAGAAAAAAAAGAATTCCGAAGTTATGTGAAGATTTTTATCTTTATTTGTTATAAAAGACAAGTAATTTTGATGCTATAAAATGATGGTTAGATTCACATTTCACATGATGTATATGAACCTTTGCCAAAAGTACAAGTGAATGATCAAGAGTCCCAAGACATCTATGACGGTATTGACTAGAAAAAATACTACCTATGAAAAATGATGCATTCAGTAGCCAACATGATAATGTAAATACACAACTGTGTTTCACTAGAAATCTAGAACACAAACTTCCCTGACCTTCAAAAAAGAATGATCTGGAACTTCAGAAAACACCTTTTTGTTTATCACCACACAGAAACACGCATAAAGTTCTGAGAACAGAAATATACGATGACTAGCTTTGTACCAGGTTTCCTCTCTTTTTCAGTTGTCTCTTTGATAACAAAATAGAGATACATAAAAGGCTACTGAGAATCTTCTGAGAAGAAAGCAGTCGAGGAATCATATCAAGCTATGCTAATATCCCATCATGTGCTCATGTTCTATACAGCCACCCTTATATATCATTCTTACATTCTTCTTTTAGTCCTTAGAGTACTCAATTGTGAAGGAAACAGTTAATGTCATTGCAAAGTAATGAAATCAATTGTAAGCATGAAAGACAACATGTTACTTATAAGCAAACAATTTATCAACATTCTTCAATTCATTAGCTGATTCTGTGGGAAAACACTTATTTACAGCTGGTTGTAATCTTGTAATCTGTATATTTATATTTGTATCTCTAGAATTAAGTATTTGTATCCCTAGAATTAAGGAAGATTTAGTTTCCTAGTTTAACCCCTAGTTAGTTGTATATAAACCTAAGATTCTTGTATAATTCATATAAGCAGTTTTTCAATATACATTCAGTTTCCACAGATTCGCATATTAACTAAACTCTAATGTGTATTTGTTCAGTGCTAAAGAAGCCAGCTTTCACGGCACATGCCTGCAGATCACCTGATGGGTAATTGGCTTGAAACCAGAACTATAAGCTCCATTTGGGCTGAAAAAAAAAAAATTCTGTTACTGAAAAAAAAATGGAAAAAATAGACATTGACATTTGAAAAGGAAGGAAATAGGGAATTTAGAATTAGAGAGAATTTTTAGTGTGAATGGTCTTAAGAGAATCTGTATAATTTAGAGGCTGGCAGACTGCTGAGCAGAACCAAATCACTAACAAAAAGAAAAGGTCTGAATAAAATGTACCAATGTACCAATGTGAACAACTAAACGAGGCAAGTTATGAACGCTAGGGTCTTCACATAAGTTCCTAGTTATTTATTTTCACAAGGGGCTTTTAATTTGTCTGATTTCCTTGAGCATGGGTATTTTAGAGCACTTGTCTTTTCGCTAATGTATTAAACTCTGGCTTGATTTTATTTCATTGTTGATGTCTAGGAGAAGAAATCAAAATGTGGACAATAAATGGAAATTTCACCAAAAAAAAAAAGAAAAAAAAGGAAGAAGCGATAGCAGCAAAGAGCAGTTGATTGAAAACCTTAACATTTGAAATGCTATGGTTTAAGAGTTGGCAAAGGATTTCTACGGTTGCTTGTTAATGTTTCTTTTTTCCTCAATTGGTTCAGTAAAAGAAGCATCTATTATCCAACCCTTTTTTTATAGCAACAAAGAACAGTTGATGGAAAACCTTAACATTTGAAAGCAGCATTTTTTAAATGCTATGGTTTAAAAGCTGACAAAGGATTTCTACTGCTGCATGCTAATGTTTCTTCTTTCCTCAATTGGTTCAGTAAAAAAAGCATCATCCAACTTTTTTTATTTCTCTTGCTACATCAGCAATTAAAGTTCTTTACATTACTAACAATTTCCAAGTATCCAAAATGCTGTAAAATTTGTACAAAATTAGTAATTACAAATGAAAAGTCATTCAACTTTTCATAGTTGGAAGCCATATATGCTATGCTTAAATAATGAATGAAAATATAAGCACTTAAGAGACAATGACCAATCATCAGGAACATCTGTCAAATATACCGCATTGCCACTCTGACAAACAGTATAGTGTAGAATGAAGAACAATAAAAGAATGACTAGTAATCATCTACAACATTTTACCCGCTATTTTTATGCCTAAATTTAGATATTGTATTAAAAAAAATTAAGAATAATCAACAACAAATTAAAAAGTTATAGATATATATATATTTATTTAAATTTTAAAAGTTATGGAAGGCTGTAACCTAAGGCAAAGTTGCCTGATGCTGGAATTTTCAAAATACTGGCTATTGCAAGAAACAAGGTTCATAAAATTATGAGTCACATTCAAAAAACAAAGCAAACAAGAGATAGAACCTTCTATAATCAGGAATTCCACATTCAGTGCTAATTCCAGCTCCAGTCAATACCACAAGCTTGTTGCTGCACAACACAGACAGCTGTCAAATATTTAGCCCATTCAAATAAATTTACATCACTAATTGTGTGTCTACAACAGGAAACTAAATATGTGAACACGAACAAGAATGACCTTTGTTCAAAGAGTTGATACAGGAGATTGACATCTTCAGTACTAGGAGGATCTGCTTCAGGAACCATCTTCTTGTCTTTCAAAAATTTTGAAGGTGCTTGTGTCTTTCTTGCTGACACCCAAGGGACAGAGATCCGACATGATGTCTGTACAAACTTTACCAATCCCTGAGGGAATGTTACCCTTTTTCCTTGGCTAACTGGTTGTTGAAATTTGCAACTTGGTTGAAGTATATCTACAAGAAATGATGCATTCGCAAGAATATGGTGTCAATAATGCAAGCCATACTTACAAAAATGATGAAGACAACATGTTATGTGATGTGTAAGACTACAACAACACCTGCCTGTCAAAAGACTTCCAAGCACCTTCCGTGTACTTGTAGAAGCCTGCATAATGAACATTAACAACTTTTGCATTTAAGAGCTCCAATCAGAAACAGAAGACAATCATGTGATGCAATAACACAGGACCAAATCGCACCAACATCCAATGTGCAAGTTTGTACGCTGACAATGGTCATTTGATGAAAAATGAAGTGTAAGAATCGTATGAATTCAAAACCCAGCTTTAGTTATATACCAGCAAGGACAATGTCGTGGGGGGAAGAATGTAGTAAAAGACATGATCATTTGGACATCAAGCTCCTCTACTCTCACTATATGTAAGGTATGCCTAACTCTAACTATAGGTCCAGCTCATTTTACTAATTTGTTTTTCCTACTTTCTCACAGACCTATTGGAAGCTTATTGCCGGAGTAAGGTTAATAGCTAAGATGCAGCTAAATAGATTTTTGTATCAACAATCATTTATGGGCATAGGCTAACCTAGTGGCTTAGTTAGAAGAAAGATTTTTCATGGTGTTCTTTTCTATAAACTATAATATTGGACAGAAAATTGAAGATGGAATTCTATAACATATTAACATAAAATGTGGGTATCCTTCATTGACTTTTAAATTTTAAGTTAGATAAAAAGGACAGAAACGAAGGATTAAATCCTGAATCAACAACAAATTTCCATTAGATGAAATAAATGGTTCAATTTCTTCGCTAGAATAACTCCAAAAGGAAAAAGAAAAACAGAATTCTAGTTTAAATACATGAAATTGCAACATAAAGATATACAAGTATGAGATAAGTAAAGGAGGAAGGAAGCTTACAGAGATAAAGGGAGGAGAACGCCAAGGCAAACAACGTGCGAGCATGATCTTGGCCTTGGAAATCTGGCAGATTTAAAAAAAAAAAAATTTAAAAACGATGGACTTTGATTTGGTTGAGCCTCCAAGGAATGATGGGAGTTGTTGTGGTGTTGATTTTTTTTTTTTATGTTCATTTTTGCACCGAAATTGTCCGCTCCGTATCCATCCACGTTTCCTGTTTCTCCCTTTCCATATCATAAATAGTTTTTTTCCTATGAAAAGAATGCAAAACTTGGATTTTACATTCCTCGCAATCACAGGTAAATTGCCACAATGTTAACATATACATCTTTTTACTCGAATTTCAGAAAAAAAATTTATACATTATTATTTAAAAAATATATATATATAATTTACTTTTCAAAAAACATAACATACTAATCCAAATTATGATATTATTAGTTTAATTTTATGATATCTGCTTACCGTAAAATTGTCTACGTCGTGTAAATGCTATGCGATAATTGACAATTTTCATCACCACGTATAAAAATACTTTATTTTTTAATTTATGTAGAAAAAAATGTTGATAACTATGACTTGATATACTTGCACTTAATATATTAATCGAACATTATATACATTAAGTGAGTATTTGTCCATTACGGCGGGTTACTTTTTTTATTTTATCATATATATTTATCATTTTTTGAAAATTTTATTTAATTTTATATAAAAAAAAGTATATAAAAATTACGAAAATGACACATGAATATTTAAATTAATCTTTTATCTCAAATTAATTTTCTATTATGTTTTTATAAAAACACATAAAAAATTAAAAAAAATAAAAATTAATTGAATATTAATTATTTTCTCATCTCTATCAATTAGATTAATTTTGTTATAAAATTAATCTAATAAAATATTTTTAAAACTACGAAAAGAAATAAAACAAGTGGTTTACATGATAATTTCACTAACATTATTTTCTTATAAAATTTATATAAAATTAAATAGATAATAAAATATATATATATATATATATATATATTATGGAGTAACCTGGTGTAAAGTACTTTAAATATACTTTGACTTATCCTGATTTTTAAAAAATAAATAAATCTTACTTGATTTGATATTGATATTTTAAAAAATACCATATCAAATAGAGATTGACGGAAACCTATTAAATATTTTTTTATTAAGCAAATCATTACGTGTTAATTATTTTTACCTAATTAAAAAAAACAAAAAAATAAAAAAATTCAAATAAAAGTGACATGTGGATAATAAAATTGAGTTCATATTATCACAAAATATATTTAATTAAAAAATAAAAATTTAAAATAAAAAAATTGTAAAAAAAAAACCTAAATAACAAAATAATAAAAAAAAATTCATAAAATGTGGCACATGAAGACCTCGTTGAGTTATAAATATTAATTTATTAAATTAAAATGTTAAATAAAAATTTTATTAATAAAAATATATATAATATTAAATAATAATCAAATATAAATTTTTATATATACCTTAAAATAAGTTGTAACAAAATACCTTAAAAATACTTTTATCCCAACATCGTATTTTATAAAAAAACTCAACTCATTTCAATTTTATTTTGATTTGAAAAAAAATGGCTCCCATCGAATTTGAATGAATTTAAATCGATCGAATACATGATGTTTTAATATTTTTGTCAATAGGCACATTTTATTCTAAAATTTATTTAATTAAAAATATCAAATAAAAGGAAAAAGAAAAAAAGACAAAGGGCGGCTACGTAGCCGTCTTCATTGTCATACTTTTTATAACAAAATTAATTTAATAAAAAGAGTATAAAAGAACCAACAAAAAAAGGAAAAAAAGAGAAAGAAATTTATTTGAGCATCATACGGATATCCTAATTAAGCTAAAAATATTAATTTTTTTAAATTAATATATTAAATAATAATTTGATTAATTAAAAAAATAAAACACAATAAAAGGGGAATGGAGTGTTAAATGTGTACGTTTGTTTTGTTTTTTATTCAAAAAGACCTTAGTTTAAGAAAACAGAAGAAAAAAACTGAAAAAATAATTTAAAAAAAGCAAAAAGCAATAAAATTAAGAATAGAAGAAAATTGAGTTACCATGTGACACTTGCAATGATATTTTTCTTTGAAAAATTTATTTATGAATTTTAAAATGAAAAAAAGACTAAAAAAAAATTAAATCTAGATATGACTTTGATACTTCTGCAAATATTTTTAAGAAAATTATCAAATTTTAAAAAAAAATAACTAAAAATGGAAAATGTATATTTTAAATATCATATCAAATGGATCTCATATTAAAAAAATTTTAAATATTTTTTAAGAAGGAAAAGTAAATAGCAAAAAAAATAAAAAAAAAAATAGTCAAATGACTTAATACGTGACATACTCTTAATATCAAGTGGATTAAAAATAAAATAAAAAATTTTAATTAAATAAATAAAAATAAAATAAAAAATAAAAAAGACATACATAATATTGGTATCAAGAGGATAAATAAATAAAATCTCTTAATTAACCTTTTTTAAAAAAAGTAAAAAAGAAAGTATAGTATAAGTGAGTGCCACAAAAAAAAAAAAAGAAATCTTTTTAAATATATATTTTTATAATTTTTAAAAATATTTATTAAATATTTTAAACTAAAAAATTAAATAAACAAATATAAAATTAAAAGGCAAAAAATCAAAAAAAGCAAAGAAAAAAAACTATATATATATATATATCAAATACACTTATACTAAAATTTTTTAATTTTACAAATAAGATTAAGATAGTGATATATATCACTTAATTTATATTTAAAAAATTAAAAAATTAATTTAAAAAAATTAAAAAACATGTTGCCATTTTAATTTCACTTAAGAAATTAAAAAAATTTTATTATTAATATATTTGAAAACAACACGTGACACCATTAGAATTTTGTTAGAGGCGCTTTACCAAAATTTAAGATTTAGATGTGTATGGATTGGATTAGTTATTTTAGAGACTTGAAGTTGATTGGAGCTGTTTTGAAATAAAGAATTGTGCTCCAACCATTAAATCAAATTCTAAGACAAAATTTTAATCCTCTTCAAAACTTTATTGCCGGATAATTAGCTAAATCTACTTAGGCTAAAACCATCCATCTTGTTAAATCATGGACATAGTTTTCTAGGAACCACTTGACGACCATTCCAAGTTATGCTCTGATGAAGCAGTCCAACAAAAGGAATCTCAGACAAGTACTTTGATAATGAAAGACAACTGGAGGAATCTCAAACAATTTTCTTAATGCAATTGAAGTTTATGAAGGCCAAAACCATCGGAGAAAGCAACAATCTACTTATGCTACATCACATCTATGAACTTAAAAGCACTGAAAATCCATACAGATCTAATCAAAGAACAAATCATAGAAACAAACAGATAACATCCTAATTACTATTGCCATCTTCAGGCCTTAGATATGAAGTATAGGAAAGAAATGATTATTTACACTCATATGCATGTTTTGGTTATACATTTGCTCCTGAATGTATTTCCCTGAAAACTCTAAGGAAATACCCTGGGCTACAAAACAACTTCTTATAAGTCAAGGAGGGGGAAAGCTCTTGTAGACAACCTCTCGTCCAAGACCCATCTAATAACTAAAAAGGAAAGAGAAATGGGAGGAGGGGAGAGGTCAAAAAAGGATATACCGAAAAATCACATCAATGAATGAAGCATGATTGCGTTGGTATGGCTAGGCAAAGCTTGATGAGCAGCTCCATCTTCCTTGCAAGTAATCCTCTGTTGTGACACTCCTTTCATTGCTGCTTACAGATAGTGAATCATCCTCCAAGTCTAGCAACGCAAGGTTAAGATGGGATTCAATATTAGTAGGATATACTTCCCCATCAACAATATCAACCTCTTCTGATGCCCTAACTTGTTGCCTTGCCCAATTTGTTGCTTCCTGGTCACCATGTAGGAGCTTCAGGATCTGTAGTCAAAAGAAAATCAATAGGCCAAGAAATGGATCCAAATAAACAAAATGGCAAACCAGGCAAGAAAAAAATGAGAGAGAAAGGTCATTTGAGAGTGAGCTTACAAGGCTAATTTGAGGCCGCATTATAGGTGCGCGTCTAATGCACAAGGTAGCAGCTAAAACCATTCTTTCTATATGATGAAAATCATAGCCACTGCCTAGCTGTGGATCTAGCAACTGCGAAATATTGCCGTCCTTTAAGATTGGCTTTGCCTGGATATTGATATCAGAGCATTACCAATTGTTAAAAACCGAGTCACAAAATAAACCAGATTAAAACAGCATTGTAGTTCGACATTTTATGGAAAATGGGAGAACATAAATGAACATAAAGCATGATGTACTCAAATTATCATTTGTATAAACATCATGAATTACAGAAAAAGACACTGAATGTACTAGTCTTTCTGAATTATATAAACATTGTTTCTGCAAATTTCTAAATTATGTTATGATTGTAAATACCCTCATTTAGTTGAAGATATGCAGAACCATTCTCCTAATTCCATGTTTCAAGAGATAAGGCTCACAGGCAATAGATTTAGATATGAACTCACCCACATAACAAGGCTCTCCTGACCTTTTGGACAGTCATTGTCAATGGGCTTTCTACCAGAAAGCAGCTCTAGGAGTACAATGCCAAGCGCGTAGACATCAATTTTATCACTCATTTTGCCATGCATGAAGTATTCAGGAGCCAAGTAACTGCCACAGACAAGTGTTACCAAGTCTATCTAAAGTGAGTGATAAACTGGAAAATTTCAGAACAAATTACACACCCGAAGGTTCCAGCAACATCTGTGCAAGTCATATGAGACACAGAACTTGAGAGCTGACTAGCAAGTCCAAAATCTGACAGCTGAAGAAGCAGAACAACTAGTAATGAGACCAGAAAGCTTAAAACCAAAAGATAATATTGATACCTGATTGGTTCAACATGATACCTGGGGCTCAAAATCATCAGACAGAAGAACGTTGGAAGATTTCACATCTCTGTGGATCACAGGTTGTTCACAACCATTATGCAGGTAATCAAGTGCTTCAGCTACACCAACTGCCACCTTATATCTCTCCTGCCAGCCAAATGCATTTCTATCCTTCTTATTACCTTGATACAAGAGCAGCCAGTTAGGCTTGAGAACATAGTACATTTAAAATTGTAAACTACAACCAATTCCAGGAAGGAAAAGATTCAGTGTAACAAAATATAAGGTAGTAAAATTGACAAACTAATTACCATGAAGGTTCTCTTCTAGGCTTCCCCTGGACAAGAAATCATAAACCAAGAGCAAATTTTTTTCCTCTAAACAGAACCCAAATAATGACGTGAGGTTTTTATGTTTTAAACTTGTAATGATCTCAATTTCCTGAACAAACTCCTTGACTGCATTCTCAGTTGGCTTAAGTATTTTCACTGCCAATTCCTTGCCATCAGGAAGGCACCCTTTATAAACATGACTGCTGCCACCTTTACCAACCATATTCTCTGAAAAATCACAAAACAATTATCATTAGAATGACCACTCAAAATAGGCCAAACTCAGGATTTTTTTTCATTAACTGGTAATGAACAACAAACCTGGCATGAAGTTAGAGGTTGCTTCCAAAAGCTCTTGGTAACTAAACAATCTACATGAGGATGAGTATTTCTCAGGTAAACTTTGTAGCTCTTCAGGAAAATTGCAAGGAGACAGAGGACAGATAGGCTCATAGCCAACTGGCACAATAGCACCGTATTCTCCATCCAAATCCGAAGAATGATTCTTTTCTTGATCAGAATGGTTTTGCCTTTGATCAGGATAGACAACAGCTGAAGAATGCTGGCTTGGTAATTTTAACACCAATTGGACCACAGATTTCTTTGCAGAAGAATTCTCCGAGTGATGCCGCTTAGGTAGAAACACCCTGCGAAGAAGAGACCAACTAGGTCTCGAACTGGGCAGCTTCCTAACCAGAATGGAATTACCCTCACTCGTTTGGAATGGTACCAAAGCTAACCGATTATCCACACTGCCATTTCCTTGTAATTCTTCCAGCAATTGAGCGTTAGAATTTTCAGGCAATTTCAAGGCTGAAGCACAGGCTACACAACTCTTCTTTAATGTTCTCTGCCTTAAAAATAAACCGTATTTATACGAACAATTGCCGTTTTCTAAATTCAGCTTCCCTGTTCTTGTACTCTTGCGCAAGGATACTAATCGAACAAGACTCTTATTCCGTCGATCATTTTCTGCTCAACCAAATGCCATAGACCAGAATTCAGTATCAGAAACGGAAATTTTCTAAAAATTAAATACAGGAACAAATTAGAACTAAAACTAAAAGCAAAACAACAAGGACTGCCTTGGGATCGGTTCAAGTTTGTCTGAACTGCTTCCCTTTGGAACAAAATTTTCCCATTTTCAACAGCGTAAACCGAGAAACATTTTGGCAATTTTCTGGCGCAATATTTTGCAACTGAAGCAGATGAGTGTATCTGGAGATGGTTCTTGGAAGTTCCCAGAATCAGCTTAGCTGCTTCATGAGACTTGGCTTCCCTCACCAGAATCTTCTTCGCTGATGACCCTCTACAAACTTTGAGCTTCAAATCGACCTGAACAATCTCCCACCAATTTTCCATAATCACTTACTACAACTTTTAAAATCACTACACTATTCAATTCATTTACCTGTTTTAAGTTGCAGAATCCTTCATAAACTGCTAGTATAGAATCAAAAGTCTTAACAAGAGAAAGAATCGATGCCGTGCTTTCTGGCATTGAAAATTTCACCATAGAAATTACTCGTTTAGATTAAAAAAAAAAGGAAATATAAAAGGAGAAATGTGAGATGTAAAGAGAATGATACCAGTGGCAGTATCAAGGATGTGAAGGGCAACGACATGATCACCAGGCTGTGCCACCTTGACCAGCGCCCATGTCAGCAATTCCTTGCTCACCCTATCAAATTTGACCCCCACCAACACTGTGGTTCCTCCTCCTTCCCCTTCCTCTGTCTCCCCTTTCATCTTCAAAGCAAAGCGTTGTCGTTTCCTTCCTCAGCTGCAATGGTGTTTGCAGATAACAGAAAATTTTCTTCCAAGGAAAGAGAAACGGAAGAGCGAGAGATAGAGAAGAATAAGAGAAAGAAGCTTCACTTTTTGTCACTGTGGGCTTTGCTTTTTGCCCATCAACTGTCGCTCCGGTTTTCTCTTTTTATTTTATTTTATTTTATTTTTGTGTGTGTGTAATGGAATAATCATGGCTTGTCTTGCCTGCACAACGCACATTGAGTGGTAGTATAACTGTTGGGCAGAGATATTAGGGTGTTTCCGTTAATATTGTAGACGTTGTGGTCAGGTGTGATATAGGCCGTTTGATTGGTCGGGGTTTAGGTGTTGAAAATATTTAGAAGTAGGCTACGTGGGTTTGGACTTTGGGGAAGATGGGGATGGTGGGGAGTTTTATATTTTGCTCATTAAGATCAAATATTTGTTAGCAAATATAAATAAAAAAATAGGTAAAAAATCACAAGAATGATAGAATCGGATAAATAAAAATAAATAAATAAATAAATCAACTTACAGCATAATTACAAAGCGAAGAATCCAAGGAAGGTGGGCAGTTTGTAGTTTCTGTCTTTTTCTGTCCGTCAAGTGCTGGTATTGTAGACACATGTTATCTAGGCTACTCCGATTGTGATTGATTTTGGAGATGATTTGGGTATAAATTAAGTCGATTTAAAAATTAAGATTAATTCAGTGAATATTTTATGTAGGCTCAAGTTTGGTCCAATTTTGTTATTGGATTAATTATTTAGGTCCAAATTTTGTATTAAAACTAGAATTTTATGTTGAATCTTGAGTTTCATATTAAAGCTTAAAATTTGTACAAATTTTACATAATCAATTTTGATTAATTAAAGATCAAATTAAAATAAATACATTAATTAAAAATAATAATACAATTAAACAATCAAAAAAATTAATTAAAATTAAATTTTATAAAAAAAAAAATGAAAGGCTAAAGGGCTGAATGACGACTGCCATAGTAGTAGCTTTTCCTCACTTTTCTCTTTCCTTAGACCTCAATCTCACTTTCCCGAATCTACTTCGCCACTTTCAGCTATCAAAATTTACCTATATGATTTATCTAGTTTATCTGTAACACAAATTGGTAAAATAACAATACCTTAAAAAATACAATAAATCAATGATGTAAGAATAATCCAAGATTGCCAATTACTTTTTTAAAAGAAATTAAATTCCTAAACAAAGGCGTAAGAGAGAAATGGAGGATATGGGATTTTTAATAAAATTCCAAATGAATTCATATTGGAGAAGAGGATCAATTGGGGAAAAAAAACCCCAAAAATTGAAAACTAGCTCCACACCACCCCAACACCTCACTGACACTAGCTTCGACCTCGACTTTAACCTCAGCACACACCTCCCAATCATCCTCACTTGTGTCTTTTGCCTATACTAACTTCGACCTTAGCTTCAATCCCAAACCACCATCACTTATGCCTTTTGCCCACACTAGTTTCGACCTCAACTCCAACCCCAGACCACCTTCACTTGTGCTTATCACCAATCCTAGCCCCATAGCCTTCCTTCTAGCGCCATTGTCAACCATAGCTCAACCCCACACCTATTAAACCCAACTCAGTCGTGCTTCCCACAAAAACCATAACGCAACCCTAGCACCATAAGCCTTGCCCAGCCCTTTACTTTCACGCATTCACAAACTTTAGCACAAACTTGTCCAACCACACCTTTACCACCCTAAGCACCAAGGCCCCAACTGTACCAACTTTCTCACATTTTGCCTATATCTATCAAACCTAACTTAATCATGTCTCCTACAAAAACCCTAACCTAACCTAAACAGCAACAATAATCAACACCATAAAAAATACACACCTGTAAAAAAAAAAAAAACCCACATGCCCCTAGAGTGAGAACCCAAGGCCAAAAAGACAAGAAAAAAAAATAACAAAAACATTAAAAAAAAAAGAAAACTTTTTTTGGCTAAATATTTTGGAGGCCAATCTAGGAGGTTCAAGCGGTCTTTTAACAAAAAAAGAGTTAGAACAAGGTATATGGGAAGAGGGAAAAATAAATTTTTGGGAGTTTTTCAACACCGGTTATGGTAGCCGACAATGATAACAATAGCACAATGCCAGACTTCAAGCTTGGTATGAAGCTTTAATTCTTCTCTAAAGTTTTAATTTTTTCAGAATAAGGGTTCAATTATTTTTTTAAAAAAAAAAAATAGTTACCTTTTATAGCAAAAAAAAAAAAAAAAGACCAAAATAATGTCGTTTTTGCTCAAGAGGATCTGCATGTGACTCAACCCAAGGTTGACACTAACCGACTGGGCTACCCTTATTTCCATTGCTTTAACCAGTCCACCTAACCGAACTTGAACCAAACCTGAACTGAAGTAGAACCGTCAGATCACTCCAAGCTACCAGACCACTCTAAGCCACCACGAACCACCTAAACCACGCTAAATTTTATTATCTCGCGGACCATTGATCAGCATTGACCAGTCGATTTTTGGTAATTTTTTTCATTTTTATTTTTTTAAAATTTTAAATTATTTAAGTTAGTTATTAATGTATATTTATATTTTAAACATTTAGAATAAATGCATATATTTTGGAAAATAGGAAAATTAATGTTTAAAAATAATAAATTAAGAAAAATGTGTATGAAAAAATATAAAAAAAGTGTAAAAAAATAATAATCAAAAAATGAAAAATGACAAACAAGTGTAAAAGAATAATAATAATAATAAATGAAAATCTCTAATGATGAAATATTAAAAAAGTTCAAGTAGTGATTCCTTAAAATTTTTAAATGAGAATATTTTTCTAAAATACTACTAAAGTAATGGAGTATTTAAAAAAGTATTCAATATAAAGATTTTTCATTTATTTAATTTTTCTAAAAAAATATAATTTAGTAATAATGTAAAAATAAATAAATGAATAAAAAAAAGATGATAAAAAGTAAAAATAACCTTTTTAGTATTAAGACTAATATAATAACACAGTTTATTTGTAATAACTAATCACTTTTGCTTTTAAAAAATAATAATAAGAGTAAATTTTTTCAAAAATAATAATAAATTAAAATTAAAGTTAGAATAAAATAAGAATGATACTAATAAAAGGGAGGAAACAAAATGAAAATCTTCAAAGATGGAATTCTAAAGAAGTCTGAATAGATATTCCTAAGTGAGAAAATTCTTCTAAAATACTATCAAAGTATTAGGGGTAACTAGAAAATTTTCAATAAAAAAATTTTCCTTTCTTTGATCCATAAAAAAAATGATATTAAATATATACAAGAAAAAATTAATAATGATAATGAATCAATTAGACGAGTAAAACAAAATAAGTAATAAAGAAAATATAACATAAGAAAAAATAAATGAGGTGATTGAAAATTATTACATGCATGCCATATGTTGTCATCTACATTTCATACAATAATTTCAAAAGTAACGTGAATTTTCGACAATGGGATTCTTGAAAAATTCAAGTAGTGATTTTCAAAAAATCCTTAAGTAAGAAAATTTTCTAAATTATTGTAGAAATATCGAGGTATTTAGAACAATTTAAAAAAAATCTCTTTTACGTTTTCTCATGAATAAAACTTTTATATAATGCATTAATGTTATAAATAAATCCATGTGCATCATATTCCATTCATGCACACCAATTTTAAAAATAAATAAAATTTTCGAGGATGAGATCTTAAATAAGTTCAAGTTGTGATTTTTTAAGAATCTTTAAGTAAGAAAATTTATATAAAATATCGCTAGTGTACTGGAGCATTTAGTATAATTTTAATAAAGATTTTTCGTTTTTTAATAAATCAAAAAAGAAATTTTTTAATTAAATCATAGGTATCATATATTATGTCATAAATTTTGATTTTTAAAATAGATACAAACTACCAAGGATGGGATTCTTGAGAAATCCAAGTAACAATTCTTGAAAAATCTTTAGATGAGAAAACTCTTCTTAATGCTGCCAAAGTATTGGAATATTATTAGAAAATTTTCAATATGCAAGTTTCTTATCTATTTTCCAAACAAATGACTAAAAATGAAAATGTGTTTTTTATTACAATAAAGAAAATTAATTTTAAGTACCAAAATTAAGATATTTTTGTCAAGATTAAAAGATAACACATAATTAATTTTATTGTTTTTACAAGCACCGTAGGGGTACTAATCCTTCCTATCACGTAATTGAATCCCGAGCCCAAATTGGTTTCGTTGACCCAAAAATTATCTTTTTAATAAATTTTAAGATTTTATTAAAAAAAGTTAGTTTTAATAGGAGATCAATCATACCTAACTTAAAAAGATTGGTGGCAACTTCATATGTTTTCAAAATTTGTCTAACGATCCCTAAAACCATTATGATAGCTTAGCAACTCTACTGGAGACATTATTTTTTTAAGAAAGTCAAGCCAAAAATTAATAATGTGTTATCTTTAATTTTAGTTTAATGGTCTTAATTGGTATTTAACCTTAATTTTCTTAATCTTAATTTTTTAATAATACTAATAATAATAATGATAATAAAAACTTGTTTTTCCTTTTAACCATGTCATTTATTTTACGCTTCGTATTTATCATTATTGTTATTATGAGGCACTTAAAATAAGGATTATGACACTCTGTTCCCTTATTCACACATGACACATTCATATAATGCATGAGTTTTGTACCTGAACTCTAACCCTTTTAGGATGGAGTAAAGTACTTATACTCTCGTAAGGTGATAACTTAAAAAATAGCAAACAAAATACTCCCACTCAAATTAAATCCTTTTCTTTTGTAACTTATAATGGGAAAAGAACGAGGTGTCTTACAAGTTTTACGTAGACACGAGTAAGGAACAATTTGGAAACCTCTGATATCCGAATAAATCTAAGCAAAGTATATAGTAAGCCATAAGGGCTGAACCTAAATGGAGCCATACCTACCCTTTTTGTAGATCATCTTAAAGAATTAAGGCAAGCAAGAGAACACTTGTATTGTAATGTTTTTTTTTAAAAGAAGTCATAAATGTGTGCGTTTATATTTGTTTTAATTTTTAAAAGAAATTTTTGGTCTTATCCCTTTTTTTTTTCTAAAAATAAAAGAATGACCTTCCCTTTTACCTTTCTGTTTCAAGCTTTTATTATTTCATTATTCCCAAAAGTTTTGCTTATTATTATTTTTTTCTTTATTTTTTTTCCTTTTCAAATTTCATATCATATCCTTATTTACTAACTTATCAATTTTTTTTCTTTTTGTGTTTTTTTAATATAAATTACACTGGCATACTATAATAACACAGTAAGGTATTTGCTCTAAGACATATTTTAATCAAGTTTCTTTTCATGGATCCCATAATGTTACAAATTTGTTTTTCGTCAATGAGTGCTCCATGTGAGTCATATAATAAGATGTATAAATGGTCTAAGAAAACCCAACAAAAGGAAGGGGATTGCTTATCTATCGATTATGTATCAGGATTGCTTGAAAAAATGCATCTAAATCTTACACAAAATAATTTAGAGGATTTGGC